AATCAGAACATCATACCCACTAAAGCCTAGAGTTAGTGTTTTTGTCATCTTCCTCAGACGCCATCTGATGCTCTTGTCAGGTCTTGCTATAACAAACGTCCCCAAAGCATGACACATCCACCTCCATGCTTCATAGTTAGTATGAGGTTCTCTTCCTGGATTCCTGTGTTTAATTTGTCAAACATGGCCTCTGTTCTGTGTCCACATTTTTATTAAATGTTAGAATAGAATTTCAAAGGTATTTTCTTCTGTTTTAATTATTTTGGGATATTACTAGAATTTCCCAGTATTGATATAATTGAACTAATTAAAATGTCAAATATGTTAGACAAACGAAGGCTGTCATTAGGTGTTCTGTCTTCATACTGGACTTGTCACCGTAACAAATTTTCTTGACATTAAATTCTTCCAGAAATTATTCTGATAAATATTATATATATATATATATATTTTTTTTTTTTAAGACCATTTTCAAATAATATAATGGTAATGGCATAATAATAATAATAATGCATGAACACATTCTCAAAATTCATTAAACTTTAAATTCTAACGATTGTTTAACATTAAAACTGGAAGACATTTTAAATATCCAGAATAAGCAACCAAAACTAACTACAAATAAAATGAATTGTGAAGTCTCTGTAAACAAAAGTGTCCTTCGAAAAAGGACTAGGTGAGACCAAAACACCAGATGTCTGTCATCCAGTTTTTGGTGGAAAGAGGAAAAACTACAAATCATGCACATGGAAATTATTGAGGTTGTTTTCATCCATCAGAATATTAATTGATTTAATGCATGAAATCAATTGATCACAAACATTGCTTTCATTATCAATGCTATCTTGATTTAGTACACTGCCTTTGTGTCTTGTAATGCATGAAATGGCCCAGATAGGCTTTACTGCAATGCCCAGCTGGTTTAGTGTCACCAGTCTTTTTTTGTCATGGTTTTTTCTCTGAGATGTGCACCAGAGTGTGTTTCTAACATCCTGCATGCTGTCTGCCCTTCCCTGTGCCAGCCCAGCTGAGCAGCTTGTCTTCAGTGCCCCCAGCAGAGCGAACACAGCGGGAAGCCGCCCTGCAGAGCAAGAGGGCCACTGTGGAGGCCTGGCTCGCCAGAGAGGCCAGCACACTACAGAAATACAGGCTTGTATGAATACACACTACTTATTTCTAGTCTTATGTTCATCATGCTTCTCAGTGTTTTGCAAAACACAGTTGGTGTTTGTGTTTGCACAAAAAGTGTCTGATGGAAACGTAGGTAAAGCCTGGTGACCCGCCAGGCTTCTTATACATGCTGGGTGTTGTCTTTGATCTAAGATTCCTACAACATCCATCAAAGCTCACTGTAAGCACTAGATCCTTAAGAAGGACGTAGAAATGAGGTGGCTTTACTCGGACCTTCTGACTGTTACAGATGTTCAGAGAGAGCTGCTCTAAGGAAACTACAAGACATGATAAACGATGTCTGTTTAAAATGAGCTTTAGGTTTTGTTTTATTAAGATTCTCAGTTTTGCTATGTTTAATTTTTCAGAAGATCTGCTCAGGTTCTGCTAACTGGATCTAGAGCTTTGCTAATGGTTTTGAAATAATTCCTGGGAATCTTTTCCAACCAGTTCTGAAAAGCTCAAATAGTTTTCCACAGCCAAGCAGTGCATGTTGTTGGACTGTGACTGTGGCTGAGACGGAGGATGTGTTCAAACGTGACATTTTCATTGAACCAGAGTTTGTTTGCTGTGAGCTTATGAAGTCAGGTTTACACACAGATGATTCTCTGCTGGTAGGACCTGGCAGATCAGCACCAGAAGACTCTGGGTTTACTGAGGAAACAGCAGACTCTTATCCTGGACGAGGAACTCATTCAGTGGAAGAGGAGACAGCAGCTGGCTGGCAACGGGGGCCCTCATGAGGGGGGGCTGGACGTTCTGCAGTCCTGGTAAAACCTGGACAGATTTTGCTCCTCTGAACTTTTTCTTTCTTTTCTTTTCTTGTCGTGTGTGTTTTTTTTTGCAATTCTGTGATCAAGGAAATTCATGCAATATCAGATCCTTGCATTTTTTTTGTGCTACTGAGTAATTGTGAATTTATTGTAAATTTGCAGCAAATTTACAATAAACTTTGCTTTAAAGTGATTCTAACCCCAGCATTTCTAACTTCTACCATGCATCTATCTCAGCTTTACTTGACGTCAAATTATAGTCCTTGATTGATATGAAGAATTTATTGCTAAATTCTTGCAAATATTTCTAAAGTAGCACCACATCATCAGTGATTTTGATTGGCAAAAAACAAACACGAAATCCTGGAGGGACTCATTCTTAATCTCCTACTGAATAAAAAATGTGCATGTTGTAGACATTCATTTTTATTTTGTGAATAAACTTTTGAGGTATTTCTCCTTTTCCTTCTTGTAAAGGTGCGAGAAGCTGGCAGACCTGATTTGGCAGAACCGACAGCAGATTCGGCGCTGTGAGCATCTTACCCAGCAGCTCCCTTTGCCTGGTTCGATAGAAGAGCTGCTCACCAAACTCAACGCTGACATTACTGACATCATCTCTGCCCTGGTCACAAGGTAAAAGTCACATATTTTTCCATATTGAACACATGAAGTCATGCAGGGACTTTCAACAGATCTCATTTATATGCACAATGTGTATTTGGATCAATCAGATTTTTTTTCCCCTGGAAATCTTTCCCAAGCAGTCCTAAAACGATCTAATTGTTTTCCACAACTGAGTGGAGTGACGTGTTGGTGCATGTCATCCATACAGGCGACATGCACCAACATACGGGATGTTAAACTGTATTTTAGGGATATTAACATTATACTAGTATATTGTTTTATATTTTGGGGATTTAACAGGAGAAGTTACACTTACAAATGTATTAATATTTACATATATTTTTTTCTAAACAAGAGCTCAATTGTATTAGTTTTGCCCCAATTACGAAAGTTAAAATGTTGTCCTATTGGAATTAATTGTGCTTTTGCTCTTTACCACAAAATGACAATTTCACTCAAAGTACTGCTGCAATATCAAAAATGGTCTAAATTATTAGAATGGTAACAACTCTACTACAAATTTTTTCACTTTTTGTTTTTCCATTAAATTTTTCTTCTAATGCAGTGAATAATCTCTCATTGACTTTCTCTTAATCCGTACTCTGATGTTCATCAGTCAGCTGTAAACTGCTGATCATCATGTTGCTGTGTTTGTATTTCAGCACCTTCATCATAGAAAAGCAGCCGCCCCAGGTGTTAAAGACCCAGACAAAGTTCGCAGCTACTGTCCGTCTTCTTGTGGGGGGGAAGCTCAATGTCCACATGAACCCACCGCAGGTCAAGGCTGTCATTGTTAGCGAGCAGCAAGCCAAAGCTTTGCTGAAGAATGAAAGCACACACAGGTGAGGAGCGGGCTGGATGGAAACTTGTCTCATTCAAAACCTCCACCAGACATTTTATTGGATAAGAAAAGGCAAATATTTCAGATTTTTTTAAATAAAACATTACAGCTTTAATTGTGGTTAATGTAGATGTACAGTAATTGATACATTCCATGAGTTGAGACAAATGGCTGCCCTGGTGAAAAGACTGTTTTCTGCTAACCCTGGGTCTCCTCCTGTGCATCATAAGCCTGGAGGGCCACCAGGCTTCAATTGTGTCCCTACCAGGCTAAGGATTGTTTCTTTATTTACTTTAGGTTTTTTTTTTGTTTGTTTTTTAGCAGTAACGGTGATTGCAAAGACGGGTTAAAGTTTCTTGGGTGAAACATTTCACAGTTTCAAAGTGACAACATGTTGTCCGTGTTCAGTGTGTGAACACAGAGGGAAACTTTTTTTTTTTTTTTTTGTTCACCTGAACTCTACCACTGCCTGTCTTTACCAGTCTACACACTAACAAACTAAAGTGACAAGTCACAGATAAAAGAATGTAAAAAATTATTAAAGATCATCATTGTATAAGATGTTTTATTGTTATACAGTTAACTGGAATTAGCCTTGGATCGAATTTAGTTTAGCTTTTTTCTTAAAGGGACAGTATAGAGAAATTAATGTCTGTCTACATGTCTTTCCCCTTGACAGTGAAAGCAGTGGAGAAATCCTTAACAACAACTGTGTAATGGAGTACCACCAGGCCACAGGCACTCTAAGTGCACACTTCCGGAACATGGTAAACTGTTTTACTGCACTCAGTAAATTGTTTGCTTAGAAACAATATCAATCAATAATCACAAGGGATGCACCAATATGAGAATCTGAGCTGATATCAATAGCCAATATTATTGCTTTTATGGCCAATAGCCAAGATTTACAGATGTCACATTTATATGCAGCTCTGGAAAAACTTGAGCCCACCGCACTGAACCCCATTGGAAACCTACTGGTTATTTCACCACACTTATTTCTGAACTCTTCCGGAGTTAAAACATTATTGTTTTTAAATGAATATGAACTTGTTTACTTTGCATTATTTGAGGTCTGAAAGCACTGCATCTTTTTTGTTATTTTGACCATTTCTCATTTTCTGCTAATAAATGCAATTTGTTTTTGCTTGGAATTTCAGAGACGTGTTGCCAGTAGATCATAGAATAAAAGAACAATGTTCATTCTACTCAAACATATACCTATGAAAAGTAAAATCAGAGAAACTGATCATTTGAAGTGGTCTCTTCATTTTTACCATAGCTGTAGACATTTCCATCCACTTTCAACACCATGAAAAAAACATACATTTGTACTGTGCTTCAGTTAAACTCCCCACAATCCTGCACTACTTTGCTGTCACATGACCAAAGAGCCAACTTAATCATATCCACATCCAGAAACACAAATGGCAACAAGATGGAAATAAACATCAGTTTTAATATCGGCCCAGTTTCACATATAGAACCGATACGATGTGTGAAAAAAAATGACCAACATCGGCCAATACCTTTGTTGATGTGGATCCCTATTAATAATAAGTATTGACTAGAGATGTGCCGTTTTTTTCTGCCAATTCCGATCACCCATGAGGGCCGATCACCGATACCCATCACATAATTAATTTTTTTTGAAATCATAAACAGTACCGGTTACATTATGTGGAAAAAGGAACCATGAATTCACCTTAATTTAGACAAAAACTTGTTTTTAATAACTTTTTCCAAGAAAAAAACAAAACAGGCATTGTGCAAATTGTACTGCTATCGGTAATAATATCTTTAACAGACTGATAACATATGAAGGCTCTGAGGAGAAATAATACAAAAAGTCCAAATAAAACCTCTCAACATTGCCAAAAAATTCAAGTATAAAACTTTACATTCAAAGGCAAATACAGGATCCATTACAGTAAACAATCCTGAGTTACTGAATGAAAACTTCCTGATAGCATGGTGGCTAGCTGATTACTGCTAGTTCTGATTGGCTGTTTCTGACTGAGCGGAGTAATTATGCAGAACAGGGAGGAGATCGATTATTTTTTTAGAGATTATCTGTCTCATGTTAGGACAGCGAAAGTTTTAATACGTATGTAAAATTTATTTTTTTAAAGTTAGATGCTGCAGCTTTAAACAGAGGTTCGGTGTGAGAGTCACTACCAGGTGGAGCAGAAGTGAAGCTCCGTCTGTCAAATATTACTACCTGTAGCAGCGGTTCAACAGTGAGAGCAGAACCAGCGTCTTACATCGCAGCTCGAAGACTTAAATAATTTTCCAGGTTATTTGTTTAGCTTTCTGACCGTCATGCTAATCCGGGTGAGTGTTTGTAGCTGTGCGCTGCTTTACCTGCTATCTGATCCTCCGTATGTCTTTTTTACTGCAGTGAGCCTCGATGTAGCCAAACTCCTCAAGTATGGCATTGTTTTTATGCCATATTAGATTCGTCGTGTTGATGCATTTTGAGGTGCTTCAACCCACGTGCTTCAATTTTCTGCCGCAACACGCAAACTTCCCCATTCACTCAGTGCGATATAGTTCCACACCACATCGGTTAGGATTTGTTGCTGCGCGTTTGCGCAGAGTGAAAGAAAGAGGAGACCAGCTGCACAGGCAGGCTGCGAAATGAGATGCAGGTGATCGGTTTTTATGATCGGCAACAAGAGACCGTGATCGGCAATCACCGATCATACACTTTTTCACGGAAATCGGTCGATTATGATCGGTGGCCGATCGATCGGCACACCTATAATTCCTATCTAAATCTTTTTTCCAGTCTTTAAATAATT